CACGAGGATCGATCCAACCCCGTGGATCCACCCTCCGAATAAAATCTTGGATTAAATTGGATCGATCACCTGATCGAGACTCAACACATGGGATCAATCCAAGCAGTGGATCGATCTCTGAAAAACAATCTCGAAACACGGAGGACCCAAAACATATTTGCGAGTGGGATGTACAAATTTGGAGTTTTTGATTTGTTTTAAACATGTTTTCAGGGATGAAGAGGCTCCCAATAACAAAGAAATAAACTAAGTTAATTGAATTTAATTCAAATTCAAAATTTGAATTAAGAAATGAATTTATGGTGTAGAAATTGAGTCCCAAAAATATTTTGTGTGTCAAATGGTGTCCAAGAAAAATATTTAAAAATAAATTTTTCTTACTACAAAAAAAGTGTGTACCTTAAGAAATATTTTAAGAAATTTTGACATGCTATTTTGTAACTTACCTAGTAAATTATTTTTAGACAGAGATAAATTGATTTTTCAACGGACTTGGTAAATAATAATTTGTCCCTCAAAAACTTAATTTGTTTATGCAAAAATGATTGTCATCCTTACAAAAATTCCTAGACTAAATAAAAATTAAAAGTCTTCGGAATCTTCACTTTACTTCAAAAACTCTGTGTAGGGGCGAGCGTTGAATTTAATCGTTGTAAGTTTCTTGATACTCCTCTTTCCTTTTCTCGATATGAAAATAAAATTTTTGATCATCGTTGATTTTAATCATCCTCTTTGTCATTTATCAAAACCAAAAAAATATTCTAGAATATCTAAAAGGGGTTTCAACTCATGTCCAATAGCACTTTCCACCACCGAAGCGGAATATCTCACTGCGGGAAGTTGTTGTGCCCAAATTCTTTGGTTAAAACAGCAACTAGTAGATTTCGTGTTAGAATAAAGGCCCAACGCTAGAGGGGGGGTGAATAGCGTTTAAAACAAAATCGCAGGAAATTAAAACGAGAGCATTAAAGTAAAGAGCGTAAAGAAGGAGCACAATAGATTTTATCCTGGTTCACCACAACGTGTGGCTAATCTAGCCCC